AGGCAGGTGGGGAGAGGCAGGTAGGGGGTTACTAAGAAAAGAAGTAGAGACAGGAGGACGGCCCTGGTAGACCCCACTTGGGCCCCCCGAGCCCAGCAGTGCAGGCTGCAGTCTGGCCCATGTGGGCACTGAGCCACTCACCTCTAGCTGGGAGGGCAGCGTGCCCTGTAGCCCTGAGAGGCCGTGGTGCAGCCCCAGCACCAGCCCCTGGTGGCCGCCCTCTGCCTTCCTCTCCAGGGCTGCGTGGAGCTGCTCACCATCCAAGTTCACCGTCAGCCCGGCCGCCAGATTGCGTCCCACACTCTGGGCAGAAGCAAAGCTGTTGGGTGTCTCTGGGACCCACTGTCCCCTGTGCGGCCCAGGCACAGCCCCCTCCTCACCTGGAAGTGCCCGTAGCCATCTATAGAGAAGGGCAGGCCCCAGTGCTTGAGGCTTGGCACGCTGTGGGTGTGGCGGAGGCTGGCATGGAGCTGGTGGCTCAGGGACTCGGGGGTCAGGCCCTCTAGGCCAAAGGCAGTGTCTAGCTGACCCCTCGCATTCCACAGTGCCAGGCGTGCTGAGCAGTTGGAAGCCACGTGGGTGAGAAAAAGCAGCACCTCTGCCTTGGAGGGGAGTTCTGGGGAAAGAGGCCAGCGGGCAGGGGTGGGCAAAGCCCCAGGGACCACTCAGCCCACTCCACCCCATTGAGTCAGGTGGGAACATGACGGGGACCTGGCCAGCCCACCTGCTCTCTGGAGGGTCCCGTGAGCCCCACAGCTCCAGGTCTCACTGCCCCCAATACACCAGGTTCAACCATACGAAACTGTCCACAGTTCACACCAGTGGAGATTTCATCTGATCCAACCTCACGCACAATCACCAGGCCTAGCCAGCGGCAAACCCGTGTCCCCTTAGGATTTCCAGCTCCCATCGAGGACAGTGCCCAAATCTCAGAGGGAAACGGGGTCTGATGATGTGTCCTCTCCTCACTGCTGCAGCGTCCCCTCCAGGCCTGGAGGGAACAGCTCTGAGAAGCCCAAGCAGGGGCTGTTGGGACTATTTCATAGCCGCTGTCCCAGAGGGCGTCCTTGGGGTCCTAGACCAGGCATCCACACTGCACGAGCTGTCCCACGGAACGGGTTGGGGTGAGGAGGCCAGATTGGCGGAGGCAGGCAGGGGGGAGGCAGGCAGGGGGAAGCCAGGTGGGGGGAGGCAGTCCGGAAGAGGCTGGTGGAAGGGGAGGCAGAGAGAGAGAGGGAGAGAGGGGAGAGCGCGGGGAGAGGGAGGGAAGAGAGGCAGGGAGGAAGAGAAGGGGAGAGGAAGAGAGAAAAGAGAGAGGAGCAGGGGAGAAGCGGGGAAGAGAGGGAAGGAGGTAGGGGGAAGGGGAGGGAAAGAGGAGGGGGGAAGGAGACGGGAGATGAGGGGGAAAGGGAGGAGGAGGAAGAGAGGGAGGTAGAGAGGAGGGGGTTGGTGGCAGCTGCTGTCACCATCTCATCTGAAGCATGTCAATACCGTAACATCGGGTGTCCTCAACCTGCATGTCCTGGCTGAATCACAGCCCGGGGAAGAAGTCGCAGGTGTGCAGGGGAAGCCAGTAGGGGAAAGAAACGAAGCTGGAATGTGAGCTAGGGCTGGAGTCTCATTTATCCCCTCCCTTGGCCCGGGACTTGGGAGTCTTGGAGGAAGAGGCTGTTCTGCCTGGACCACTCATCCCACCTGCATCACTCAGCGTGCTGATACTGTGCGGCAGTGCACCTGCAAGCTGGCCCCAGGAGCAAGCTCCATCCAGAACCAGGCTGGCCGCGTGGGCACGGATGCTGGCCTGCGCCCTCAGGTTCCTCCTCTGGGCGTGCAGCCGGCCCTTCAGCTGGAGCTCTGCGGGCAAAGCCTGGCTGCTGTTCTGGGTGAGGACACAGGTCACGCTGTGCACGCTGGTGCCGTTCCCTGCCTTCTCATGCTTGTCCCGCAGGAGGAAACCCAGCACAGCTGAGTCAGCAGTGACTCTCAGGGTGCCTGCAGAGGATGGGAGAGAAGAACAGAGCAGGGGGCGGCTCAGGGAACCGAGCTGCTTTAAAATAATTTGGGGGTAGGAAGATGCTAGATTCATGACGTCACACTTGTAACTCATGTCAGAAATGTCACATCTGTGGGCTGGGTGCGGTGGCTCACGCCTGTAATCCCAGCACTTTGGGAGGCCAAGGTGGGTGGATCATGAGGTAAAGAAAACGAGACCATCCTGACCAACACAGTGAAACCCCATCTCTACTAAAATACAAAAATTAGCTGGGCGTGGTGGCGCACACCTGTAGTCCCAGCTACTTGGGAGGCTGAGGCAGGAGAATTGCTTGAACCCAGGAGGTAGAGGTTGCAATGAGATGAGATCGTGCTAGACTGGGTGAGAGAGCAATACTCCCTCTCAAAAAAGAAAAAA